GTAGGGCCGGGATTCTCTTCCACATTTCCACTAAGCAGTAACTTGGTGCGGATGATACCGCCGACGGCGCGGTAACGCGCGCCCCAAGACCGACGAATATAACACCGTGTCCCAGCGAGGCGCGGCTGGTCCTGGTGCTGTGTGATGCCGCAAGCCTGGCGCCGCAATGTTCCCCAGGTGGCGAACGTTGCTGGCGCTCGGCTTCCCCCGGCAATGCGGGGCGCTGCGCCTTGGTGCCGCGATGGGGTGGCCGGTTTCACCAAGGGGTGGGTTTTTCCACCACCGAAACCCACATAATCTGCCCTAGCGCGGCAGATGTGCGCAAATGCATTTCCTCCTTCCTTCTTAGGCCAGCGGAAACGGGTCGTAAAATTGCACGGGGAAGAAGAAAAACCGGAGGAAGGTATTTGGATTTACTCGCCGGCCCAACGAATGCTTCCAGCTGCGCGGTTGCTTTCGCGACCCCAACGCCTGCGGCCAACACCCGCCCCCGCCCCACCCGCGCCACCTTTCCGGCGAAGGTTCATGCGACCCCGCCGCGGAAGGCGCGAGCGGTCACACAACACCGGCGGGAAAGGGGTCCGAAGACACCTGCTTCAGGGGTGGGGGGCGTTTTTCTGCGGGCAGCAAACAGGGCGTCGTGTTCGCGTTTCGGGGTTGTATGCCCGGGGCTGGGGGTTTCGGCTTGCGCGGGCCGAGCAGGGTTCCGCAGCCTCCCTTTCTGCGAGGGGCCGGGGTTCTTTTCCACATTTCCGCTAAGCAGCAGCTTAGTGCAGGGGATGCTGCTGATGGCGCGGCGGCGTGCGCCACAAGACCGAAAAGGACAACGCCGTGTCGAATCAAGGCGTGGCGGGACCCGGGTCCCATGTCCGCCCCCCGGCTGGGGGCAGCTGGCCGTTGCGGCGCGGGAAGTTGCAAGCGGGGCCGGCCCTTCCTTGGAGTGATTGGCGTCAATGTGGGCTGATTGTCTTTCCGTGGCCTCTCTGGTGGAAGCCTTTTTTGTTTGTGGCTGTCGTTTGCGTTGTTCGTTTGGATGCAGTGCGATTTTTTTAAATTTGTCTATTTTTTTTTTTGGTACCTTTATGCTGTTTATATGGCAACGTTCGGAAATGATTGTCTCTTCTTTTGGAATCTTAGTGGGNTTTTTTTTTTGGTACCTTTATGCTGTTTATATGGCAACGTTCGGAAATGATTGTCTCTTCTTTTGGAATCTTAGTGGGGGGCACTGAAAGCGCTCCGTATTTGTCAATTTTTTGCATGGGTGTTTACAAGGGATTGTCGTTTTATGATACCATTCGATGGGTTTTGTAAATGCATTGATCGTTGTCAACGTCTTTCCTTTCCTCCTGCTGGCACTTTTTTGGGGGAAAAAGTAGTGAACTAGATACAGTGCCATGGAGTCTGAGCAGAAATACAATCCAACAACAGACGACGTACTAAGCGTTTTGCGACTTCTTCATGATAATGGTATTAGCGTTCAAAATTCAAGAAAAGCGTATGAAGAGCTACAACAATACCAGGCAAATCCAAATTTCTGCATTTTGCTATCCTTCGTGTTCAGTGCAGAGAATTGCCCTATTCAAACCTTGCAACCAGTTGGTTCCTGGATTCAGTATAGACGACTTGCAGGTATTACGTTAAAAAACAACCTGGAAAGGTCTGAATACGCTCTGGGTGAGGTAGCTGTGAAGGAGGCTGCCCGGGGTGCTTTGTCTGTGCTAGGTAATCCGACAGATGTTCGCATTGCTCGTGTGGCAGCCCAAATTGTTGTTAAGATAACGGCCCTTACCTCCTTTGATTGGTGGCAAGCTTGTGGGATGGGAAACCTTCCAAACTTGCTTCTCAATGAGTTATTCAGGGCAGGAGAACTAAAAACTTTGTCAGCTCTTTACACACTTCAGTACCTTGTAGAAGATCTTCCAAAGGAAGTGGGTGCTGCGGGTAAGGATATAATTGAACAGGTTGTGACGCTGGCATTGGATCAAAATGCACATTTGAGCATGCGTAAGGCTGCTTTTCGAATGTGTTCTAATATGTATGAGCACGCAGAGCTTCTTGATTGGAATGTGGAGGGACTCTCACCTTTACAGAATGGGCTAGTAGGTGCAAGTGGGACATTTACTGGTGCCTGTACTGCAATTTTAGAACAAGGATGTGGATGTGATATTGCACTAATGATTGAAGTATTACGCTCGTGTGTTATGATGCTTGAGTACTTGGATTATTTCACGCCTCTTTCAGATGCAGATATGGCCAGACTTGTCCATTGGTGGATTCGCAATACGATAGATCTTGTTTCATCAAGAAGCATCACAAGTGAGTACGATGTTCAACTTAAAACTGCCGCAATGGATTTGTTGACCGCGACCCTGTCATTTTATGACAGGGTGGGTGGTGAGGGGCCTATATGCCTCCTTGTTGAACCAATTCTCCAATCACTACCGAATCTTGTACCGGTCCTAGTGCAGTTTGTTCCTATGTCACAGGAGGAGATAAATAGCATTTTGTCGACCGATGACTATCGAATGCGCGGTGCAACTGCAGTAAATTATCATATCAGTGAGGAACGTAAAGACATATCTGAGGATACATTTTTTGATGAAGACCGTGGGGCTGCGACATTGCGCGCATCAACATTACGGTGCATTGACGCTTTGTGTGTTTTTTCAAGTGAAAAGGTTTTTCCACATCTGATCGAACAGGTTCGAATTTTATGGGATGGAGATAGTCAACTCAAAGAAGCAGCGATTGTGTTGATTGGAACTATGGCCAATGGTTGCTATACTGAAATTGAACAGATACTTCCAACTGTTGTGGAACAACTTATCAGCGCTGTTACATCTCCATCAGAAAACATATTTGTGGTCAGTATTGCCCTTTGGGCCTTGTCGCGAATGTTGGAGTGGGCTTATGCACGCGATGATGGGATTTTGTCTAATATTGTGGCGGCTTTTATAGCACAAACACAGAATACTAGTAGACGTGTTCAACAAGCGGCAGTATCTTCTCTGAACACAGCCTTCATTACGGGTCATAACATGGATGCGTTAACGAAGCTCGCTGGTAGTTACTCTGGATTGGCAACGGCGGTCGTTGCATGTTTACCCAATTATTGTGATGCAAACCTGTCCCTTCTGTGTGATTTGGCTTTGCGGTTGATTGCTGTTTCAGAGAATATTTCTGCGGCTTCGAGCATTGTTACCGTGTTTGAAAATAATCGAACTGAGCGTGCCAAGTCTTTTGAGAAGACATATGTTGACAATTACATCAACGAATTACCCAATATCCACGTGGACAAGGATATATTTTCGATTGATCGTGTTATTGTGGGTTACCTGTCACGCTTTCCGAATCCAGAGACTTCGGTGAAATTTCTTGAATCATGGCATATGACCTTAAAAGATGCTGTTGAGAGAAATGTGAGCGACGACACCGACTTGTTGTACAACATCATGTACACTTGCTGCAACTTCGCGACCACAACTACATCTGCCACACTCGCCGAATGGGCAAGCCAAACACAAGGTTCTCTTGCAGGATTGGCTTATCACCTCCTTGTTAGATCACCCCAGCAGACCGTGAAATCAGCAGCTGTTGAACTTCTTATTCGCCTACTGAATAATATTGGGGGTGCTGCGTTTCCAAATGGGATGAGTGAAAATTTGATGGAAAAACTTGCTTCTTCTATGCGTGAAGTTGATGATCCGTCCAACAAATTAGAACTGGTACGTTTGATCACGCTAATGGTTGAAGTATATTCTTCGGAATTTCCTAGCAGCGCTTCTGCCGCGTTTTCTGCCGCAGTAGACGCACTTCGTAGCGACGCTTATGGTGATTCTCTATTGTTGTTTGCCCGCATGGCGTTCGAAATATGTCGTGCACTCGGTGTCATGCCAAATCTTGTAAGGCAATCACGTCCCGATGTTGTGGCTCGAATTATGGCTCAGACGGAGAATACATACGAAAAGTCAGTAGCAACAATACAGCTGATAGATGCACTTTTGTCGGCTGAAGAGGTTGCTCTCGCCATGCTACCTGATGCCATGCGTCTCGTTTATAGTTGGCAGCAGGCGGCGTGTGACTTTCCAGGTACACAAGAAAAACTCAAATCCTTGTTGTTGTTTTACAACAGCAGACAGGGTGAGCAGCTCAAAGAGCACATAAATGCTCTAAACCCCAATTTTCGCGAAATGTTATTGTTGGCATACGGTATGAATTGACGACAGCTACTGAAGCCCGAATTTAATGAGGAACTGTTGCTGTGTATCCCACGAGACGCAAAAGCACACAACATTTCAAGGGAAACCCGAAAAAAAAAATTCGAGGAATTGAAAAGGTATGAGAAATATGTGCTGATGTCTAACGTATGAGGTCCCTTCTCTAACGTTGAAAGTGACATGACTAGAAAAAAGAAAGTGATTCTTTCCTCCAGTCTCCTGTGTTAGGTGGCCATCACATATATAGTTTTGAAGGGGGGTTTCTCTGAGAAAAAAAAGGAAAATAAAGAGAAAAAGATGCGGCGGTTTTTGGGCCCGGTCGAAGCTGTATTGAGGCATCGCACGCTATCATTGCGCTTCAAATCATCGCCGGGGATGAGAATCTCAACCGTTATTATTCCACGAGAACTCTTCGGGCAAAGGCGCAACTATCATAACTACCCTCAGCCCACTGCATACCCACCTCCACCTTATCCGCCTCAATCACAGCAGCAGCCACAAGGCCCTCCCTACAATTATCAAGGATTTTCCCAGTCTTCACCCGTATTTTATGATCAGCGAGGAGCCTCTTCAAGCCACCTGGGGGCTGTCATTCCTGATTTGGGAACCAAAGAACGGCCATTAGTTGTCATTTCTGCACCCCAAAAAACGTCATGGGCCACACGAATCTGGTTGCTTTTACTCCTTGGAATTGGCTTGTCTTGCATTTTGAACCTTATTGATGAAATCAGTGCGAAAATGCAGGAAAGTAATGCATCACCAAAGGCATCGGGTCTTGCCCGTGGCCCAATTGCCGGAATGTTCAGAGCTTCCGATATCTCACCTGTTGACTTGAGTGATATTGACGTTACCTTCGACTCTATTCGAGGCTGTGATGAAGCAAAGAAGGAACTTGAAGAAATTGTCGAGTTTCTCAAAGACCCTGAAAAGTTTCATTCTTTGGGAGGCCGCCTTCCAAGAGGTGCTCTTTTGGTCGGCCCCCCTGGGTGTGGAAAGACAATGCTCGCAAAGGCCATTGCAAAAGAAGCGGGGGTGAGTTTTTTCTACGCCACAGGAAGTGAATTTGATGAGATGTTTGTTGGTGTTGGTTCACGTCGCGTCCGAGATTTGTTTGGAGCCGCGAAAGCACACTCCCCAGCACTTATTTTTATTGATGAAATCGATGCATTAGGCGGTAAGCGATCGCGAAGCGATCACGCGTACTCACGCATGACATTGAACCAGCTTCTGGCAGAGATGGACGGATTTAGTTCGAAAGAATCCGTTATTGTTCTTGCAGCTACGAACACTCCAGACGCCTTGGATAAAGCCCTAACCCGTCCTGGTCGTTTTGACACAACAGTATCTGTGGATCCTCCAGACATGAAGGGACGCGCAGAAGTACTTCAAGTCTATCTAGACAAGGTGAAAACGGATTCTTCTGTTAAAGCACAGGATATCGCTCGAGGAACTACGGGTTTTACCGGAGCTGAACTAAGCAACTTGGTCAACATTTCAGCAATTCGAGCTGCGATACTCAACAAAAATGCCATAACAATGGAGGATGTTGAATATGCAAGGGATCGGGTTATGATGGGTGCGGAAAGCAATAAGGTTGTCCCTGAGGAGGAGCGACGGGTGACAGCGTATCATGAAGGTGGCCATGCTTTGGCAGCACTTCTTCTGGAAAGTGAGGGCGCAGATCCTGTACATAAGGCAACTATCGTCCCTCGAGGCAATGGCATCATGGGACTTGTGCAACAGTTGCCTAAGAAGGATAAGTACAGCCAAAGTAAAAGGCAGTGTTTGGCTCGATTGAAGGTTTGCCTTGCAGGTAGGGTAGGGGAAGAGATCTTGCTAGGAGTGCGTGATGTAACCACAGGAGCTAGCTCAGATTTTCACCAGGCGACACAGATGGCGCGTAATATGGTAAGACGCTTTGGCTTTAGCGATGAACTGGGGTTTGTTGACTATGAGTCTTTGGATACACCAGAAGGTGCATATATGTCGGACGAAACAAAACGAAGGATAGAAAAGGAGGTTTCTTCACTTTTGCAAGAGTCGTATAAGGAAATCAGGGAGATGCTACTCAGTCATCGTCAGGAGCTTGATTCCATGGCGCAACACCTTCTACAACACGAAACTCTATCAGGTGATGAACTTAAAAAAATTTTAAATGGTGAGATGCTACCGGCCAAGGTCAAGCAAGAGAACGTACAGCCCCCACCCCCGCAGAGACCACCAAAAGGTTCAGACGCAATAAAAGGAGGACGCCGCCCCGTGACAATATCTTAGCAGAGTTCCCGGCACTTTTAGGCACCGGATCACCATGCTTTTTTTTCTATTACAAACGAAGGCTTGTTTCGTTGTTTGATATATTCCTAGCAGAAAAGCCATTACCTTGGAAGGAATATATCTTTCTCTCTCTCTCTCTCTCTATATATATATATATATATATACATACATATATACATATGTATATATGTATATAAGCCGAAAGAAAACAAAACAAAAAAGAAAGTGACAAAGCGAGGCAAAGCCAGGGGCACTCTCACAACTATTTTGTGATCCCCCAACATTGTCCGAAGAGGAGAAAAAAGAAAAAAGAGAGAGACAAATGCCCATGACACAACTCAAAATTGAGGTGCTTCTTTTCTCTGCACGTTCTCATCCTGTTTATTTGACTTTTGCCTGGAAATTAATTTTTTTTTATATTTTATTTGTGGTGAACAAGGGCTGCCTTCGATTATCTTAGAAGCGAGTGAAGGGAGACAAAAAAAAGTAAAGCTTCAGTAAACAAGGCATGCGTCGTGTTCCTTCGCAGACGTCATTCCCCAATGTTATTGGGGTACCGCTGAACTTTGCGCATCATCGATGCCCCTCGGCTGGTGCGTTTTGCGTGCAAACTCGTCATTCTATTGGACCGTCCCGTGACAAACAGCGTAACCAACCGAACGCAGACCCTACAACTGGGAACCAAATATCGATCGTAGAGCCACCAGATCTAACACAACACATTCGTTTTGGCATGAATAATTTGGAACACTTGACGCTTCCAGAGGTTCCGGAAGAGCGCCGTAGTCGTACTGATGTTGAAAAGGATCGTGAGATGCAAGAACGGTTCGGGAAGTACGGCCCTGGTGAGCGGCTGACAAAGAACTCACAACAAACACGGCGTGACATGTTGCAGGAGCAGCAGGATGTTGATGGGCTTCCATGGGAAGTGCGATGGAGGAAGTCGCTCGTACCGACCTCCGAGGAAATTATTCAGGATATTAGAGATCGCTTTGACCTCTACATTCAGGATCCCATTGAGCGAGAACAAGAATGGTACTTGCATTGGAAGGATCGGTCTTTTAAGATTCAAAAGGATCGTATGATTTGGCCTCAAGGATACACAGATTACCTTGATCATTACGACGAACACGGTAGAAGACGAGTTCTCCCTTCTGATCAGCGTTGGTCTGACACATCGTGGAAACACTTGGCTGATACCAAGTACAAGGACCGCATGTGGCTTATTGAGGGAGAGGAACGGAAGGCCGTCCATCAAAGCCTTCGTGAAGATCGCGTACTCATGGAAGAGGAGGAACAGCGGCAACTGGAGATGGGAAACGTGTATAATGGCATTCTCTCCGGTGTGGTTGATCTTGATCCCGAGCAAACGTATCAGGCCCTCTCGGGTACCGCAGATCCCCTCGAAGTTGCCCGAACAAAAATGAAGATTCAGGCATACGGCGCCCAACAAGCGCTTCAGAGCGGTAAACCAAAAAATTTGCAACAGATTGATCCCATTTCTGGTTTTCCAAAGGCTGATATGGAGCCACTACCAACAGGCATAACTGTGGAACAGGGTGCGTCCATTGCTGCACAGGCAAACATCCAAAATGAGATGCTGGAGCAAACAGCGGACATGGCAAGACAAGGTGGAGAGGATCCAGTTCCGGCTCTCATGAAGGCACACCATACCACATCCAAACAGCATGGTGACCGCCCTATACTACGCTCACTAGTAGAAGGAAAAATTAAAGAGATCAAGCGGCTTCAGAAATCATATACGGCGCCTTCGTTGGACAGCATGGAAGAGGTATTGGAGAAGATTGAGAATACCACAGTAGCACTTGAGAATAGGCAGAAGGAGGAGGATGAAGAACTGCTTGTTAAAGATTCTAGTTCTATGGGTTCAGGGCATGTCGTGCCAAAGCAACCCCGCAGGAATAAGGAGAAAAATGAAGAGGAAGGTGGTGCCCCTTCGGGTTTTATTCAAGTGAAGAAACGCCCACTTGATAAGGAGCCAGATGTTCCGAAAGACCTCTACCAAATTCCACAGAGCCGTGAGATGGAGACCATGCCGGAGTGGTATCGCGAAACTCTTGTCGAGACGGAGCCACTGATTCAGTCGTACGGCTTGACACATGATCCATTGGAAATGCAAGTGAAGACAGCGAAGATTGAGTACTACCAACCACCCCAACTGACGGAGGAGAGGCGCATTACGAATGATGACGCCATCAGTGGTGTCTCATCCTTTGACGAGGTGAAGATGCACAAGTTGCGGTCACTTCCAGAGTTGGTGGAGGGGTACAAACCCCTCCCTCTATACAGAGAGATAACAAAGGACGATGAACAGACAAAGAGCACTACTGCATCCAAGCAACCAGCAAAGAGGCAAAAGAAGTCTGAGCAGCTGCGCAAAGAGCGGCAAGAACGACTGCGCAAGGCAAAAATGCAGTATGACCCCGACATCCTTCTCCCCTCCTTACCATGGGAGACAGACTCCATCACCGACCCATACCGCGGTGTTGCGAAAGAGGACGCAGTTGACTTCAACAAGGCAGATATGGAAAAGACTTGGCGGGCCTACCGTGGAACATTTCAGCAGAGCATTACAGAATTCGGCAATCTCACACAAGTGACAACAGAAGACAAGTGCGAACGTATGCTGATGGACACAATGGAGCGCTTCCGCCGTGGTGAAGTGGGTGAGCACCCGCAGATACCCGAAGAGCACGAGGCCATCTTCCGACTGATATTCGAGGCCCACACGAAACACTTTCTTGCCGACTTCTACAAGTTCAAGGGAAATCGTGTGACAGAAGCAAACACGACGAAAGCAGAAGCGGATGAAATTTTGCGACGTGCCTCCGCTAAGTGCAAGTTGCTCGGGCCAAGCTTCATGAATTTCATACAGGAAATGACGTCTCTGGAACTCGAATCTGTCCGCAAGAATCCTGCCCAGCGTTACGCCATTATGATTCGAGACAGGAAGTATGAACCATTAGGAAAACCTTTTATGAACTGGATCAGCAACGAACTCAGTGAATTCATTCTAACTGATTTTCAAAGCGTGGAGCAGCTCGAGACGAGTCTGGAGTTCCTGAAGAAACACGTCATTGACGCCAGGTTCAAGTGTCCGATGCGCGTGGAGGGCGTGAGGGACTCCGCACGCGATTCCGCTGTTGAGGCTTTCTTCCAATGGTGTCGTGGCGCGCTCTGCTTTTACGCAGGTAAGCAGATGCAACGGCTGTACATTGACTTCGCTGACACACGCTTTCGTACACGGGCAGAGGAACTATTTGAGGATTCTATTGAATGGTTTTCCAATTATGCCAAAGCCGCAAATGGCATTGTGCAGATTCCCATCCCTGACGTTGACCCTCCATATGAGTACGATGAGAAGGACTTCCTTGACGGCGAGAATGCCATCTACGCTGAGATCTCCGGTCATTTGGACAAGGCAGAGGGACTTTGGCACTCTGGAACATCGAAACGATGGTATCCAGTGACAGACGAAACGGAGTATATGTGGTACAACGAGCGCCGTGGCCGCCTGACACTCGCGCTGGACATTTCCGACCGATGCCTGGAGAACGTAAATAAGAAGACACACCCTTCCATCCATCCGTTCCCAGAGCGTGCTCGCCCGTTTCTGGAAGGGGCTCCGCTGACGCAAGAAACAGCAGAACATTTATGGCTGCGCTACATGGGAGACTTGTACCATGAGCACAGTGAATTTATGTTTCGGCAAGGACGTTTCCAGACAGGACGTTCCTACCGTGAAAAATGCCTAAATTTTTACCACATGGCTGTGCGCATAGCGCGTGAGCGACTCCCCCCGTCGTGGAAAGCCCCCTTGTTGACCGAGGCAAAGTACCTTATGCGGGTCTACGAGCCTGGAATAGATCTGGAGCGGCACCTGCAGGAAGTAGAAGTAGTGGTGGACAAACTGTTCGCGGAGAAGGAACCACCGCACTGGTTGGAGCCTTTTTCCGAGCTGCCGTACCGTCTTGCAGTAGTACACGCTAACCTGCCTGCGTTTGGTGAATACATCACGGCCAAAGTGAACGCCCGTATCAAAACGAAGCCATCGAATGATTTGCTTCTGAAAAACATGGAGCAGCGTGCACACGGTGGCTCCTACCTTCCTGAGTTGGAGGAATACTTCGCTGCTGTAAACGAAATTTCAGATGAGGTGTTCCGCAAAAAAATCCTACGTTGGCGGGCATTGGAGTACGAGGGGTCCGACCCGTACCTCTTTTGGACACACCTTTACTTCGCATTCCGTGTTCATCCCCAAAATGCCGAGGAGGTAGGCAAGATGTGGGACATGTACGAACCAGCCTACCTATACATCTACACCCAGGGCGCACTCGCTTCCCGCAATCGTGGCCAGAAGTTAATAAACGATGCTTTGCGACGTGTATGTCAGATTCTTCTTAAAGGGGACAAGGGGCAGAAGGAGGTTCTTCTGCGAGAGTTGACGAACGTTCGGGAGAAGTTGGCACATCTTATCGATCGGCGTGAGTTGGATCGCACTATCCGTGCACTTGAAGCCCACCTGGCCGACCCATCACATGGAACATTTACGTATGGCTCATCGCTTCTGTATCGCGAAGCTGTGAGGCATGAACGTATCGCAAGGAATCCAAATCTCCGATCAGCCCTTGCTGCGCGAGATTATGCTGAGTTACAAAAGCGCCGAGAGTCTCTTCGTGCACACGAGTCAACTCTGAATCCTCAACAGGCTGCAGCACTCCAAGAGCAGCAAGCCTCTTCCTCTTCTTTACATGAGGAGCCTCTCGGAACACAGCCAGACCTCTCCACCAAGGAGATGTTTGAAGGGAGGTGATCGTACAGCTGTGTCTGCTGTATGTCTGCTGATACGTCGAAGGCTTAAAGGACTGTCTTTCTTGCGTATGTTAACCCCTTGTTTCACAGGGCGTTTTTCTTTAGTGGAGTGAAGAGCTTTTTTTTTAGCTCTGTGTATTTCCTCTGTAAAGAAACAAAAAGGTTTTTATCCATGAAGGTTCAGATGCTCTTCATTCGTCCTTTTTCTTTGGGGGGGGGGGGGNGGGGGGGGGGGGTTATTCTTGCTGAGGTTGTGCTTAACTGGGCAAAGCCCAAGCTGGAAAGGGATTTACACCTGCACACAAACATACAAAGAAAGAAAGATATGATGCGCCACATGATCATGCCTATCAACCTCATGCTGCTGCTGCTGCTGCTAGGAATGGTGCTTCAGCCAGCAGATGCTCACATGGAGGATGCGTACGGTGCCGATGCTGGTGAACTGTTGCCGCAGGTTTCTGTAGGCATTCTCCAGCGTGCCCCTTCGTGCACAGATGCGCAGCGCATTCCCTCCGGCGCGCATGTAACCGTCGACCTGCGGCTCTTTACTGACTTTGGAAAGGGAAACAGGAAAGAAGTGCTGTACCGCACGGACAAAATTGTTAGCGATATAGGGAGTGCCGCATCGCTGCCCGGTCTAGAGTTTGGGCTGCTTGGCGCCTGTGTTGGCGAGANGACAAAATTGTTAGCGATATAGGGAGTGCCGCATCGCTGCCCGGTCTAGAGTTTGGGCTGCTTGGCGCCTGTGTTGGCGAGACGCGCACCATCCGCATCCCTGCCCCGCTGGGCTTCGGTGCGGAGGGTAACGCGAAACTGAACGTACCGCCCGACACCCCGCTGCGCGCCACTGTTGTGGTCAAGTCCTTCCGTGTGCCGTCGGAGGCGGAGGCGGAGGCGTTTGCAATGGATGAGGACTTTGGAAGCCCGATGTCGCCAGCTGAGGCGGAGGAAGGTGTTGCCTTTGCAGAGGAAGTCGTGCAGCTGGACGACACTTCCTTTGACGCGGAGATGAAGGGCAAGCATGCCTTTGTTCTGCTACATGCGCCATGGTGCCACGCGTGCATATCGTTCAAACCAGTGTTCAACACAGTGGCAAAGACGTGCGCGGGGCAGAAGGACATCATGGTGGTGGCGGTGGATGCGACGGCCAACAGCATGCTTGCCGAAAGGTTCGGCGTGGAGGCCTTCCCCACGATTCTTCTTCTCAAAGCAACGGGCGAAATAGCTCCATACGAGGATGAGCGGACAACAGAAGGGGTGATATCGTTCCTGAATGGGCAGCTCCGGAAAAACATTGCCGCGCTGTAAAGCAAAAAAAAAAGTGCTAGGATATGGGGGAAGAGAACTTTCCGCTTGCGGAATAGGCTACCGAAGGTTTGCTATCTCTGCTTTGTAATGAAGGTAATATGTGCGCGCGTGAGGCGATATTTGATTTCTATTATTATTTGAAGCAGAGGTGCCGTTGCTCTTCCCGCCTCTTTGCCACATCCACCATGTGCCGCGAAAAAACGCTGGGCTTGACACCCCCTCGTTTGTATAGTTTTCGGTTATATATATATATATATATATAGTGTGTGTGTGTGTGTGTGCTTCTGTGTGGATATATTGGTGCACCACTGCTTCTTTTGTAACGCCTTCTGTGGCTGTCTACCTAACACATAAGCTTTCTCATAGGGGACCAAGCGAGGCAATGACAAGCGAAGCGGCAGAGCAGCACGAGGAGTTTCTACAGGAGGTAGGAGCTGGCATCGATGCTCACACGTCGAGAATGCGTGAGGGTATCTTGCAGATGCTAACACTCTATCTCAAGCAGCAGCAGATAATCATCCGAGAGTCGTTGCGAGCTGAAGCGGAATGTCGTGAGCGTGCGATATTGGACGAGAAGAGGGAGGTCGAGGTCGAGCTTAACAGTGCACGAAATGATATACAAAAACAAAAAACAATTATACGAAACTTGGTCCTGATGCTAGGCGATGCACACCAGCGGCTGTGGTGGCAGCGACGATTTCGTGATTGGGTCTCGTGGCTGCTGAAGAAACGGCAACGACGGCAACTCGACTGGACTCTGAAGCGCTCAGGAAACATACTGCGAACATACCACTTGTACGCGCAGTGGCGTCTGTTCGCCGCGGCGCGCCGGCAGCAGCGGCTAGCACTGGCAGAGCAGTCGCAGTGGAAGCTCCGGGAGGCCGAGTTGCTGGCGCAAGTAGAGGCGCTGAAAGAGAGAGCAGAGGAGGAGCGACGACGCAGCGACTGCCTGGAGGAGAAAATGAAGGCGGCCTTTGTTCGTGGTGTTTGTGCGCTGAACAAGGAGGCGGTGCAGGTGCTGCGCGGCACACAGGAGACGGAGGACGTAGAGGAACCAAGAGCAACGCCCTCCCGTCTCTTTGACGCCCGCTCGACACGTCTCCAGTCGACACGCGCAAGCCACACGCCGAGTACCACAGCTCGATTTGACATCCTCCAGGGCCAAGCATCATCATCAGCAGCAGCAGCAGCAGAAGCAACAACTCCGACAGCGGCAACAGGAACAGCAACAACGGCAGCTCCATTGGGGGGTCGAATGATTCAACAGCGTCAGGGAATGGGGCGGCAGGAGCACCAGCAGATGTGTCCGCTACATCACGTCCCAACACCTGGGCCGCCGTGCCACATCTGCTACGCCCCCGACACGTGCACGTACAACACGAGGCCAGTGCCCCACCAGCCCTTTGTGGTCTCTGTAGACCCATCTGCAGTGCGCAGCTATGGCACCACGCCAGCTTCCCAGCGTCCTCCACACATCAGTCGAACGGCTGTGAAAACGGGACGTTCGCGTGCTGCGTTCTGAGTGTGTTCCCCTCCCCTTCCTGTCCCCCCAACCACTCACACATACACACACGCGCATTCAGAACGCAGATGCGCACGCGGCACCCAAATACATCATAACAAATGGTGTCCGAGAAAGGAGTAAACATCACCCTTAGAGCCATGTGTATCAATAAAAGAGACGGCCTTTCACTGTATATCACACACGGACACACTTTAGATTTGTGTCGCTGTTTTGTTTTGGTTTGTTTGTTGTTGCGCCACGGCAACAGGCGATGGGAGGCGAGTTCCTAGAGGATGAATACGCAAAAAAAGAAAATGATACCGTCAGTATTGCACTCGTATACGTGTACATGTAGTGAATCTAAATACACCAAAAATCATACGATCACCTTTAGGGACATATTTCCCTCCTCTCTACACGGCGGCCGCCACGCTATGTTGTTGCTACTGCGGAACCCTTTTATTTTGCTTGCTGTTTCACTTTTCTTTTCTGTCTGCAGTGTGTCCGATGGGGCGGCACCTGAGTCGTGCCGTTGTGGCACAGGTCATAGACGCGCTGAATGTTCAGCGAAAGACTGCCCTGCTTTCACTGCCGTTCGAAGCGTCTTGGGTGACGGCCACCACCACCGAGTCTTCTAGTGGTGGTAGTGCATCATCATTATCGAGACTGCTCAACGGTCCACTTGACACTGAAAGGGAGGTGCTGCCGTTTGTGCGTGACGCGGTGCTGCGTGCTGTTGAACGGACTCCGCGAGGTCGTGACAGTAAGCTGATGCCCGAGGAGCATGAAGTCGGCGCACTCATGGAGGGCCGCCGTCTGGTAGGTCTTAACCTCACCTGCTCACGTCTTTCTGCCGATCTTAACCGTAGTGACCTCACCGGTGCTGACTTCACAGACGCATTCGCAAGCCACAGCACCTTCAACCTGGCTCGCATGCAGCGGTGTAGTCTGGCAGGTGCGCAGCTCCACTCATGTACGTTCCTAGCGACGGACGCAGTGGGCGTCGATGCACGACGGTGCCGCTTTTCTCACTGTGTGTTTTGCCGCACTGACATGACTGACTGGGACGTCCGCGGGGCAACTTTCTATCGCTGTGCCTTCACCATGAGCGACATGAGCGGTTGGCTGTACGACGGTGCGACGATGGTGGTGGAACCGGTTGATTGGAGTCGTTGCCGACGCCTCAACTGGCGAGCGGCGGCAGGTTGCAGCGTGCGAGAGTGCAATGTGGTGAGGAAGAATACCAGTTGTAGTAGTAGTAGCAGCAGCAGCTGTCTCTCACTGGGGCCACGCGATTGCTCGCCGTCACGCGGTTGATCCAGTCTGGGACGCCACCCGGACACTTTTATCTATGTGTTTGCCTCTCATCTCTGTTTTTACAGCACGGCTTGAAGTGCGCCTCCAGCGTGGGCCCGAGTCTCATTTCTTCTTTTCAACTTGGCCCTTGAATTTGTCTTCTTGTTTTGAAACAAAAGAATCAAACAAAAAAAAGAGGAAGCGATCATCATCATGAACCTCGAGAACTTCATTCGTACACTTTCAATGATGTACACAGCCCATGACAATGAAACGCGCCGTACTGCTACAATGGAAATCATGCGAGCGGAGGATCAAATGAGTCCAGACGAAGTGCTGCGCATTGGAGTTGAGCTGTTTAGAGTGACGGATTATGGGGCTGCAGTGCAAGCGTATGGTGCGGTGCTTTTGAGGCGTGCCCTTGTGTCTGGCCGTATCGGTGCCAGTGCGGTGCCGTACAACGAGATTATGATGTGGTACTTTAACGAACCGACTTTAGGTCGTCTCCTGTGCGGGGACCTTGTAGATCTCATCACAGAGTGTATTGTGCACGAATGGCCTGACAGATGTCCGGACCTTATGAATCAGGTGTGCCCACCACAGGCGGGTCTGTCTCAGCAGCCGCGCAAGGTTCGCCTGTTGTGCTTGCTCGTCTCACGCTGCATGGAGCCGCATCTCGGTAAAGTCCCTGTGCAACGCATGAAGAAACTGAAGAACGCCATGACAGAGTGCGGCAGGAGGATCCTGGTGGAGGTCATCCAGGCACTTTTTGACATGTACACGGCGGCAGGAGGTGAAGGTAGTCGCTGCTGCGCAGAAGGAACATCGGAATCCGTCGTGGACTGTCTAACAATCGTTGTGAACTTGGCCCCTTCCCTCAAGGTGTCGCAGTGGTGGGAAGTGGGATTGGGCAATGCACTGTCGGTGCTGGTGCACTGGCAGCCCATGGCCCATGAGGCACTCGCTGCAACGACAGCCCTCCTGCGCTGTGACGTATTGTCATCAGGGACAGTGAGCCCAGAGCTCTCAGTGCTTCTCGGCGCAGCTCTCGGTTCTGTGGATGTGTGTTTGGCGGAGCGGAGCTACGGAACTCTTGATGAAATAGCGGATCTTTTACATGAAATGCCGGATAAATTAATTCAATCCGTAGCAGCACCAGTTAGCCAAGCGTGCCTTGTTATGTTGGCGGTTCCAAGCATATCCCTTGCCAGTACGGTGTGTAGTGTGCTGAAGCGCCTAGGCGATGACGGCTTCTCGCACTTCAACCCCTTAGACTTTATGGCACGTATTGCTGTGCTGGTGCCAAAGAACAAATGTCGCCCCGAGACTGGTACCGACCGCGAAGGGGTCCTCTTGTCAGAGCAGCAGTTTGGATCCGCTGAACTTTTTGAACGAGGCTTCGCAGAGTTCCGCAGTCTTGTAGGAGGTCTGCTGTCGACGTTGGCGCGCATCTACCCTGTTGTCGCTAACCAGTTTATCACACAACTCCTTACAACACTCTGCGACGGAAGAGGCGTATTGGGGGATCCGCGGACATCGTCAGGATTCGTGACACAGCAAAGCAACACATTTTGTCAGTGGGAGGCGTCTCAATTCCTGATTGACCACCTCTCCGAGTCGTTCAAGTACTCCTCCGACTATGTGGGGCAGGCAATAGAGGCACTGGTAGAGCATCAGACTGAAGACATGGTTCTCTGCCCCGTATTTCTCAACATGCTCTCATACTTCTGGAACTGCAGGGACGACGTGGCGCAGAGTGTCTGGGAGAGAACCCTCAACATCATCTTCTCATGCCTTGACCGCAAGAACTACGACAGAAATGACATTGATGTCATGTCTGCACGCAAACGTGCGGTCACACTTCTCGTTAATGCCTGCAGCCAACACGCGGTGAGACTGTCATACTTTTGCGATCCCTTCATGAGGCGCATGGAGCGGCTGCTGATGCTGCCGTCCACAACAGCACAGGAACGGACGCTGCTGTACGAGGCCACTGCTGCGCTCACCTCCGCGCTCCCCCCTGAGGAGGGGGAGCGGCGTCTGCAATCCATCTTCAGCCCCATTCTGAAGATGCTGGAGCGGCGTGTGGATAGCATGACTCAGGGGGAGTTTAACAACATCATCATCGGGGACACGCAAGACTACCGCGACGAGCGCAACATGATCCGCGACGGTGTGACCGTCGTGGCCGGTGTCCTGCGGCGCTGCAAGACATCACCATACATCGTGGAGTCCTCCACAGCGCTGGCGCCATACATTATGCGGCTGCTGGAATTCATTCACGGCATTCGCGTGGAGGAGCTGCCGCCCGCCTACGCCGGTATCCTCGACATGGGCATCGACGAGCGCGAGCAGTATTTGCCAGGCCATTCACGGCGCAGCGCACACCCTAGAGGCGCGGTCCAGAGGGCTCGTCAAACACTATTGGAAATGCGCATGTCGCTTTATCAGGTTGTCGGCGGGCTGAGTGCGTTCCTCCCCGCCGAGGCCTTGCGTGGGATATTGAGAATGCTCGGGGTGTCGGTCCAGTTTCTGCCCACGTATGCCGTGCGTTCGCTGATGCTGCAGTGCCTCTTCCCCATCGGCAGCGCCCACCCCGAACTCCTCGCCGATATCCTTCTACCATGTGTCGCTGTCTTCGAGCGTCGGGTCGCCTGCCGCAACGCAAAACCTGAGGATGACGTCATTAATACCAGGCAGCTTTTCTACTACTCCAAGGACGTCTTTACGTTTATCCGGCGGCACATCGTTGAGCGGAAGCTGCTGGAGGGAGACATACAGTTGGTGCAGAGCGTGGTTTTAGTGGCGCTGAGCGTGCTCGAGAGCGGCGCCAACACGCATGAAGCCTCCCGATTCATCTTCACAACACTTGACGGCGCCTCCTGCGTCGGCGACGGGACGGCGGCGCAGTTGGACCAATTAGCGGTACATACCTTTGGTCGCATGCTGGACTTCGTCACGTGCGCAGATGATACCATCTTGCCCTTGAAGGACAGGGAACGCCTAGTAACCACCCTCGCTGACAATTACCTGGACCACTTCCCAAAGTACGTCACGGCTCTTCAGACACGGTTCTCGCAGACGCAGATCGACGAACTGCATGCACACTTGGCAATTTCGACACGTTTTGATGTAAAACGTCGACACTTCAAGGAGTTCTTGCTGCGCCCGCCGGGAGAGGTGCTGGGTGCGAAGTAAACTGCTAAGAGGAATGAGAGTAAAAACACTTCACGAGAGCAGAAGCACAAGCGGATTTCACAAGGTCGTTCGGGGTCGAGCGCCCCAGTACTACGATTGATGACTCTACTGCTAGCATTCACTTTTTTCTTATTCGCAGGCTGCGTTCTTATATCTGGCGGTGTGTTTCAGTACTTTATATATATATATATATATATAATGTTGTTGTGCCACACAAATGGGGTTCCCTGCGTGAGCACTCCGTTACACAGTGCACACGAGATAGCATCCGTATGTGTGCTATTGCGTCCTTGCATCAACCCAGCTGCGCGGTTTAGCGTCACTGAAAAGATCGCCCAGGCTCCTGTAGAATGTGGACTGGTCCCCCCGCTTCGCCTTGATCTGATGCATACACCTTGGTGTTGGCACCGCTGCCATCCCATTAACGGTGCCACCAACAACAACAAAAAAGAAAACGAAGGAAAGGGGGATGACTGCTGTGCTGAAGAGAGAGGTTGCAACTGGCTTCTCCCTATGGGGCCATGCGGGCACGCCGAAACAGACATATACACATACACATGTACCGGCATATGCTACCCCTTTGTCTTTCTCTCTCTCTCTGTTTGCATCGCAACCTGCGATTAAGAGGAATCACAAGCGTTCTAAGCTATAAAAAAAACACAAAACCTCAGGGGAAGCAAGTAAAGAAATAATAAATATCACCAACCCCTAAAAACCAACAAGGCTAATAACAGCAGGAAGGAAATGTTCCGCCGACGTGTAGCTCACCAGCTGGTCAGCGCTGTGGCAGCCCTGCGCCTCCTCACCATCACGCCAATTCCGATGCCGGCACTGTCGCCTACGATGGAGAAGGGCAAGATCACGGAGTGGTCCAAGAAGGTCGGTGACTCTATTGCCACCGGCGATACGTGGTGCAAGGTCGAAACTGACAAGGCTGTTGTATCGTATGATAACGCGACGGAGGAGGGTTTCCTTGGTCGTATCCTGGTGCAGGAGGGCCAGGAGGTCACCGTCGGCGAGCCCGTCTGCCTCCTCGTCGATGAGGCGGAGGGCGCCAACTCCGACGAGGTGAAGAACTGGAAGCCCGAGGGGGCTGCACCGGCAGAAGAGCAGCAGGCACCGGCTGCCTCCACGTCGGCGGCACCATCTGCTACTGGTTCTGCTCCTTCTGCTTCTTCCACCAGCGGCGGACGCGTGAAGGCGTCGCCGCTCGCCCGCAAGACGGCACAGGAGCTTAACGTGTCGCTTGACAGCATCAACGGCACCGGTGGCGGTGTTGGCCGCATTGTGAAGAAGGATGTCGAGGTGGCGGCAGCTAGCGGCGGGAAAAAGGCACCGGCCGCAGCAGCAGCGAAGCCGAAGGAGGCCGTAGCAGCAGCAGCAGCGAAGCCGAAGGAGGCCGTAGCAGCAGCGGCGGCGAAGCCCGCCCCACCGGTCAATGAGAACTACACCGATATCCCCGTCACCAATATGCGCGCGACGATCGCGAAGCGCCTGACACAGTCCAAGAATACTGAAATCCCGCACTACTACCTCTTTGAGGAGTGCTCTGCGGACAATATGGTGGCACTCATTCAACAGTTGAACGCCAAGGGAGACGGCAAATACAAGATCACTGTGAATGACTACATCATCAAGGCTGTGGCACGGGCTAACATGCTGGTGCCGGAAGCAAACTCCTCGTGGCAGGGCAGCGTAATTCGGCGGTACAACACTGTCGACGTGAGCGTGGCCGTGGCGACGCCAACAGGCCTTATCACCCCCATCATCAAAAACGCGCAAGCGCGGGGACTAGCAGACATCTCCACAGAGATGAAGAGCCTCGCCAAGAAGGCACGCGAAGGCACGCTGCAGCCCAATGAGTTCTTGGGCGGGACGGTGTCAGTGTCGAACCTTGGCGCCTCCGGCATTCCTGGCTTCACGGCGATCATCAACCCGCCGCAGTCCCTCATCGTCGCCGTCGGCTCAGCGAAGCCGCGGCCGAAGATGACGCTCAACAGCGAGACGGGTAAGTACGAGGTGGGCCCGGAAGCGGAGATGGCTGTGAAGTTCACCATGTCCTTCGATCATCGCGTCATTGACGGCGCCGTCGGTGCGGAGTGGTGCAAGCACTTCAAGGACGCCATCGAGAACCCGCTCTCGCTCATGTTGTGACGGCGCTGCTCTTGCCGCCTGGGGAAGGGGGGCGGATACACCGTACGCCCTTTAAAAAAATGTTGAGAGAGAGAGAGAGAGATGAACAATGCAAAACCAAGCGGTCATTTTTAATACGAGGGAAGCCACAAAAAACAAAAAAGAAGGCAACACAAAAAAAAGGATAAAGCAAGGCGAAAAAAAAAAACGGAACACACTAAGGGTACAGCCTGGGCAAATGTGAAAAACACGGGGAGAGAAAGAGAGGCGGCGCTACAGCCAGAAGGGGGGGAGGGGCGGGAAGGAAGAACCCGAAGCACGGGCGGAATGAAGGATGCAGCTGTGCGCTTACGACCACGCCACGAGTTCGCCGTCCCACTCCTTTGTGCTCACTTGTTTTTTTTTTTAAAGTTATTGTTGTTGTTGTTCCCCCGTGGGGTGCGGCTGCGTTGTGTGCAGTTGGAGACGAGGCAAAAGAGGCGGGAGGGGGGGAATGGTTGTGCGTTCCCTTCAAAACGCCAGAAGCCCAAGGACAGGAAGCAAAAGACGAAAAAAAAAAGGGGTGGGGGGTGGGCGGGCAAAGAACACACAGTCGAATAACAGCAGCGGCGTAAAGCAAAACAAGAGAAAAAAAACAAGCCCTGGCGGATGAGGTGTGGATGGGGGGATCCGTCACAAGACGGCGCAAACACGTCCCGTCGCTCTCGCTCCTCCACTCGCCCGCGATTTACACACACGCACACGCACGCACGCCTGGCGTGGTCGCAGCAGTGAGTGGTGGTGTGGACGGTGGTTGGACGAAAGCAAAAAAGATGGTTGAGAGATGATGAATGTGGGAAAGGGGGGGGCCCTGCGAGGACGCTCCTTTTGATTTGCCGCTCGCCTCCCTCTCCGGAGCAAAACAGGTGAGCCCAAAGGAACGGTTCTGTCATGAAAAAACAACAACCAAGAATGCACTGAAAGAGTATGCAACGCCAGGAGCCAAAAGGGAGAAAATAAGAGATGACAGTGTATATCTGTGACATGTATGACCCGGCAACAAGGGTGACAATAGCCACTGACGCTGCTTGCTGAGCCTGGGAGTGCTTTGATTACTCATTCTGTCTCTTATTTCTTTCTTATTGGACGCATCACAAACATTCGTGTGTCGCTCGCAACAAAAACAACAACAGGTGAAGTATGGCATCGAAGGGGAAGCAGCTGTCGGTGCTCATTGCGGGTGCGACGGGAAACACCGGCAGCGAGCTCGTCTCACGTCTTGTGTCGCACCCTGACGTGGCGCGCGTGGTGGCACTGTCGCGGTATCCGATCCCCGTCAATCGCTGGCGCACAAAATTCCCGCACATCCACACTGGCGACGCCCTCCACTGCCTCTCCGTTGTATCAGTCGATTGGAACAAAATCGTTGCAGATGCCGCCCACGTACCCGCGTCATACGTGCGGGAGGGGCGGTGGTACAGCAGCCCTGAGACCAGCCCGAGTCTGTGGGACACATGGAACAAGATGCGAGGATCGGCATCAGGGCTGCGCTTCGCCAGTCCGACGGGCATCAACGGCAGCGATGTGACGGCAATGATGAAGAAAGCTTCAGAAGCCACACCACCACTTGGCAGGGCGGGCAAGATAATCGGCCGAAACGATGGTTCATTCCTCTCCTCCAGTAGTAGTAGTCGCAGTAATGGTGACATCAGCAGCAGCAGCAGCAGCAGTGGCTGTGCGATGGGGTACGTGAAGGTGATTGGTGATCCATCGGTGAATGACGACGCGCAGAATGGGTTTCTCAATGCGCTTCTGCAGAACACATTCTACAAGTCCGTCTTCAGCGGGCATCACGTTGCAATCAACTGCCTGGGATCGAAAAAGTTCTTCATGGGGTCGGAGGTGCATGCGGTGGATCATCAGTACGCCATCGCCTTCGCCAAGATGGTGCGTGTGTTCAACTGCATGGTCCACGCAGAGCCGCTGGAGGAAGAGGAGGAGATCCTCATGGAGCGCCACTCGAAGCAGATGGACAGTGTGCTCTGGGGAGAGATATACGCGGCATGCTACGGACGCGTGGCGCCCGCGTGGTTCCACACAAACGCCGAGGCGGGGAAGACTGGAAGCCGTGAGACTGGCGCCAGTGACACGAGCGCGCGGCCTCCATGGCCCGAGCAGCAGCTGAGCCGCGGCGGGGAGGCCACGCTGCAGCAGTTCACGCAGGTTAGCGTTATGGGAAGCAGCATGTGGAGTCCTTTGCCGTACTTTCGCGCCCATGCTGAGAGCGACGAGGAGCTTCTCACGCTATTCAACCGCAACACGCAGGACATAAGCCGCAACTTCCTCCACAAGACTGAACTGGACGGTGAGGACGGTGACGACGGAGAGACGGTGACGCAGCAGCGCGCAGAGTTACTGCTGCGCCGTGACGTGGTGAAGCTGTGGGATAACTCGCACGTCACCATCTGGCGCCCTGGCCCGCTGCAGCGTGGTGACCAGCGGCTTGTGGAGCGAATGCTTGGCGTGTTCGTTGCACAGATCGATGTGCGGTGCTTCGCGGAGGTGATTGTTGATGACATCATTGCGTCCGTCGAGGATGACCGCGGGTTTGGCGAGGTGGGCTCCGTCAAGGTCGTCGGCGGCAATAGTGTGGCGGTGCGCGTGAAGATGAAGAAGCTAGAGATGGAGCTCAACAGGCGCGGCATCCACACGTCCGCCACAGCCGCTCGCCCCGAAGGAACGACGCAGAACGTGTAACTGCCGCAGATGTATGCTGATTTCTACTGATGCTCACTTTTTTTTTATTATTGTTATAAAATTATCTCTCGTTTGCGTATATAATTGACGCATGCCATTTGTCTATTGCTTCCCTGTGTGGCTTGCTCCGTCGGAGGGCAAAAAAAAAAATAACAAACAAAATATGAGGTCGGCATCGCGAAGGCGGTGAAGGTAACAAGTAAATGTGCGGTCTACATATCTCTTCACTGCTCCTCCCACCCTTTGTTTCTCTATGTGGCTTGCTGCAAGATCCACGCCCTCCCATATGGCGGGCAGCGGCAATGCGCAGGTGGAAATGGATCCGACACGGATCGCAGACGGCGATGTGTTGGAGCGGGAGCATGTGCTGAAAGTGTACGACGCCATAGCGACACACTTCTCGTCGACGCGGTACAAGGCGTGGCCCAAGGTACAGGCCTTCATTGAGTCCCTCCCGAAGTACAGCATGGTGGCCGACGTCGGCTGTGGCAATGGCAAGTACTTTGCGTGTGCACAGCGACGCCGAACGGTGCCGCTAGCGAACAGCAACAAAAACAGAGATGACATTAACGGTGTGGAAGCCATGGTGGAAAGTAACGAAACAGAAGAGGCGTGCCGGTATGTCGTCGGCATCGACTCCAGTGAAGGGCTTCTGCGCCTGGCACAAAAACAGCAGCAGCAGACGACATCACCTACAGAGCCGTCGTGTGCAACCTTCATTCCTCGCACAGATCTTCTTCGCGCCGACGGTCGCAGTACTGCTTTTCGGAGTGGCATCTTCGACGCTGTCATCAGCATAGCAGTCATTCACCACTTTGCCACACACGCAAGACGGTTAGAGGCGGTGCGGGAGTTACTTCGTCTCGTGCGGCCCGACGGCCTCGTGCTAATCAGTGTGTGGGCAAAGGAGCAGCCCAAGAAGCGCTCACGAAACGACGCGGCGGATGTCTTTATCCGCTGGGAGATGCACGAAAAACACGACAAAGACAAGCGCGTGTACCACCGCTACTACCACCTGTTTGCGAGGGGTGAGCTGGAGCGGCTCGCAGAGGAGGCGGGCGCGGTGGTGAGGGACTCGTACTACGACAAGGAGAATTGGTGCGTCGTTCTCGGGTTGGCGGCGCCGCCCCACAGCGTGTAAGAGATGTGTCTTGCTTGTATGGCTGAGCTGCTGCACATGTGTAGAAAAAGTGACGCTGCATATCCTTATCCTCGCACCCTACCTTTTTTTCCCCCACTACTTCTTACCCATTTACTCATTCTTCCTTTCACGAACTAACCGACTTGCAAAGTAGCCCAAAGACTTTGATGCGGAGGGACGGCCTTGCGGGAGAGCCGCAGAGGGCAATGCGCGTGGCGCCCGTGTGGCTGCAGCGCACCGCCGATGCCATCGCAGCGCGAAACGGTGTGATTCTGACGGACTGCATCGCGCAGGCAGAGGAGGGCCAGGCCGCCCAAGTGACAAGCGCCGCCGTGCTGGCGAACATCGAAGCAGCAGTGGACCACCTTCGCTGTGTGCTCGCAGAGCGGGTGGAAGGGTCGCGAGAGTTGCGCCGCAGCGAGTCGGCAGCAGCGGCTGCCAAAGATGCGAAGGAGCGGCAGTTGTACGTTGAGGTGGTGGTGCGGGTCGCCACCACTGGCGCGCTTGCACAGTACCAGCGCGCTGAGGCCTGCAATGGGCAGGAGGATGGTATTAGTAATGGATGTGGCAGCAGCGGAAATGATAACAACAACAATAACAAAAGCGATGGCAGCAAACCACCACAGCAGTACTTTGATACGCTCGCACGCGGCCTCCTACACGTCTTTGAAGCGTTTCAAGAGGTACACTCGATGAGTCGCAGCCACTATCCCCCCTACCGGCGAGGAGGCAGCACTGTTGGCACCGTCGGCTGGGACACGCTACTCTTGCTGCACTTTGTTCATTGCATCCCCCGCGCCGCGCGGAAGGCCAGTGAGAAAGTGATTGATGAGGCTACCGGTATGATTGTACGGAGCTGGCGGAAATTGTTGCTCTCCCTACAAGTCGAGGATCCGCGGGAGTCGCCCGAGCACTCCCGTCGCCGCGGCGCCCTGGCGGTCTGCAACGGCCTGCTGAGCATCCTCTTCCATCGCTACAACAACCATCAGTGCCGCATCCTCGTCAACTCCGTGGCACAATCCGAGAAGGTGGCCGAGAGCACCAACGACTGGGGCAAGTCCATCCTGCGGCCAGCGCAGCACATGACGGCGGAGGTTGTAACGTTCTGCTACTACAAGGGCCGCATTATGTTGTACGACCGTCACTTCGCTGAGGCCCACGAGGCGCTGCGGGAGGCGTACCATCTCCTCCCACCACCAGGTGAAGGCACGGAGGTACAGCAGCGCAACAAGCAGCGCGTGCGATTCTATCTGACAGTGGCTGGCGTCGCCCACGGCAAGGTGGTCCCGGCGGAGATCCTGCAGACAGATGACCTCATCGCCCACGTCTTCGCACCCATAATTGCCGCTCTGCAGCGCGGTGACCCACATGCCTTCACCACCGCCGTCGACACGTTCTCTATGCTCCTCCGCAAGCGCGGGGTGTATTTCATCCTTCAGCGAGCAAAACTCTTCTGCTTTTTTGTCTTGCTGGCACGCACACATGCCGCACTGGGGAACTGCAGCGAAGTCGACAACAGCCGTGTCCCACTCGCCGTACTTACGGCGGCGTACACGCACGTCGTGGAGGAGGGCAGAGCAGCCAGTGCACAGGCTAACCAGGCGCAACCGTATCCGAAGAAACAGAAGCGACAACGAGCAGAGGAAGACGCCGAGGGGGCATCCACAATGACAGATGATGAAATGACGTGGTGGACGGCAAAACTTATTGCCTGTGGGCTTGTGCGCGGCTATATCTCCTACGAGCACAAGACCATTGTGCTCTCCCGCCAGTGCCCCTTCCCCACGTTAGCAACAGAAGCATGACGGATAGTTCCGGCAGGTATTTACAAACACGAAGGACATGCGTGTGACACGCAACCTCATCTCTTCACTTCCCCGAACAACCTAATATTGTACCCTTGGCGGCTTCTTGCCACTGCCTCAACTTTCACATACAATGGTACAGAAAACAGCCGTTTAAACAGCTTTGGTCCTCTTCTTATCTCGACGAGAAGCAAAGAATACAAAATACAATCTACACAAATGCGTGCTAGAATATAATTCACAACATCTTTCTATAAACAGTCAGAATGACCCCAGAACAACCTCTGCTTCGCTCGCCCCGCTCATTCCGTAAGCGTGCTGGCGATGAACGGCGGAAGGAAGAACTGCACGGCTTGCCGACCTTGGTGCACGATGATGCGCATGAGAACAAGCATATGTCCGAGGGAACCCCATACATGGGGCCCAGATGAGAGTATCACTCAAGTCCTTGAAAGCTGAGCTGCGCCTTTTATCCCCTGTGTTACCTGATGAGTCAAAAACGACCAATAATCCGACGCATTGGGCACTGCCCGTGCATGGTGGAGAATTCATTGCAATTTGCTACAGTTGACTCTTTTTTTGCGGTTGAAGAGCTCTGTTTTTTTCGTAGGTTGGACTTACTGGAATTCTGGTTTTTGTTGTCTGAAAGTTGTGCCGTTTGTTGTCTTCGTATGTTTTGTTTGTTTTGGGTGAAAGTGATCTTCCGTAAGGGAGGTGACGAAAGGGACGAAAGTATGGCTACGTCGTGGACGCTGAAAAGGTGGGGGGAGATGTATGGGGTGCCTGAGTCGGCGTATGAGGTGGCAGCTGGAGTCCGCTCAGTAGAGGCTGTTCTATACCATAACCCTGTTGCCGGTCCGCTATGCGGACTTGCAGTGTTACTCAGCTCGCATATTTTTCTCACCGAAGGCGCAAGTGGTCGNGCCTTTCCACGCGAGCAAACTTCCCCCTGTGTCTGTGCCTGCGACACATGATGCACACCAAACACATCGTACTGGAAGGGCTTAAGCCCATTCCATCCGATCCCACATGAGTGAGCTTTGTTAAGCGTCATCCGCTGATGCCCACCTCCCCTCTTGTCTCAGATTGCATTACCTCCACTTCGCTCGCCCCGCTCATTCCGTAAGCGTGCTGGCGATGAACGGCGGAAGGAAGAACTGCACGGCTTGCCGACCTTGGTGCACGATGATGCGCATGAGAACAAGCATATGTCCGAGGGAACCCCATACATGGGGCCCAGATGAGAGTATCACTCAAGTCCTTGAAAGCTGAGCTG